CCTGAATCAATAGTGACCCATTTTTAACACACATATCAATCTTTAGACCTACTCTTCTGGGGATTCTCCAATTACCTCCAGGGAAACCAGTACAAAATGCCTTAGAAAATAAAAACAGTGTTAACTCACTAAATGACCTCCCAAACATATGGAAAACTTAAAATGAAGGAGAATTCAGTTTATCCATGCCCAAGAGTTATCCTGAACTACTGATAACAAAGCTTAGGCCCATCTAGGAACAATTATAATGAAAAAGCTTATATATACAACACAGCATAAAATATAAAGACACCAGCACACACCAGAGCTACTTAAAAACACATTACATACTGAGGCAGCAAAATAACCCCTAACAGGAGTCTTTTTAAATCCCACTAATAAAAAGTCTCCAGCAATTATATCTACTTTGTGAACTTAACACCCTGGATATTTTTATGGAAAGTCAGATATTTTCCTAAAACATTAAATATTACATACACAATGCACAGTAGTTCAATCTCTTCAGCTATAATTAAGAAATGACTAATTGTAGAGTCTTCAACATAAAAACTTTCAATCACTGCTATCTGTACTTGCAGAAGATTCTCTGATACGCAAATTTAACTAAATACATGCTTCAATAGTCATACAAAAAATAAAAGGACATTTCTAAAGCTGCAATGTAGGAGGGAAACAGGCGGAGTTAGAAGGATCCAAAAGGCTTAAACATTGAAAGGGTGCAATCAGTGCTTCTTGGTTTTAAATAAAACAAAAGACAAAATTCTTTATATAACCTCCTGCCTCTCAAGCTCTAGATCTAACCCCCTTATATCCCTCTGCCCTAGGGGTTTTTTTTTTTTTTGGAAAATTCTTTCCACAGTAAGTCAGTTTAGACACTATCATGAAAATCGGATTTGTAGACCAAGATGAGCTTATTGCAGTTCTCCCATACACAGAAAAATTTTTGTATTTCATGCAATAATTATTTTACTGTTTCCACCACTAGCTACCGAAAACAACAGTTTATACATTAATACCTGGGTTTGGTTTACATTCCTGCCCAAATTCCAAAACAAAGTACAAACCCACTAATTAACTTGCTTTTTAAACAACACCTAAAACTAATGAAAAAGCTTATATATACAACACAGCATGAAATATGAAGACACCAGCAAATAGACAACTGAAATTATCTCATTACCCCTCTCCCTACCCCAGCCCTACCCCACTGCCCCCTACTGCCCAAATCTGCAAATACTGAACTTATAGCTGACTACCTAGGTGGTAAAAGTTGCTGGAGAAGGATAAAGACAGGTCACAGACAACATTTCAAAGTTGCTATCTCTTATAATATTTTGGGCCTAGATAAGAGAGCTACTCAGCTTGTATGATGACATTCTCACAGGAAAATCTCTTTCGCAAAGGCTTCAAATATGCTCTTTCATGTGTGTGTGTGTGTGTGTGTGTGTGTGTGTGTGTTGCTAGAAGTTGAATCCAGAGCCTTAGGCAGGCAAGAATTCTACCATTGAGAAAAATCCCCAGCCATTCACTTCAAATCTTTGGAAATTATACACAAACTTTTGTACCTTTCACACCTGCTAGTGTGGCTGTGTAGAAGGCTGAGATTACTTTATTTAAAATTAAGACCCCACACCTCTCATTCCTGGAATGGGGCCTTTTTAAGCCTTAAGACCTTGTTCCTGAATATCTTGCCACATACTGCTTTTTTTCCACACACACACTAATTTTCAAAACTTCTATCTGTAGCTCAGTAGTACAGCATGTGCTTAGTGCTCAAGAAGCCCTAGGTTCACTATCCAGCACCAAAATCAATGAACATTTATTAAAATTCTTACAATTCTGAGAGTCATCTTACGGCAGTTTTAGCTAAAATAGTCACATTTAGTAAGCTTTTTTTCTACTAATAGTAACTGTATGATTTCAAATTTGCCTTCCCGTAGATGGAAAGTTATTGAAATTTTAGCTATGCTGAAAAAAGGAAAAGTCTTTTGTGCAGAGGACTGAGAGGGTCAACCCCCACTGTGGGAGGAGTATGCTTTCTCTAGACTTCTGGCTCCTAGATCAGCTAACTGCTCTGACACACATCATGGAATGATAGACACAGCACATTCCTCCTGCCATCAACTCTGCTGTACTAGTGCTCAGAAGACCCACTGACTTCTACAGCAACATATTTCCACCAATGCCTTTCACTCTGCCTAGACATGGGAGTAGCCCCAACTTTTTTTCCCTGCACTATACATTACCAATTAACCCCTGACACCAGAATACACATAATGTAACAAATCGGGCTATGACACCAGCAAGACCCAGCACCTGATTTCATCATTTAATAGTCTCATGACTCAGCCTCTGAGCCAGTTTCCTCATCTGTTAAATAGGGAGAAATCTAATGTCTTAAGATAGATCCCAAACTAGTTATCAAGTTGAATCCAATATTACAGAAATATTACATCTAGTCCACATTGTTTTTCACATTTCAAAATTTTGCTACATTGAAAAGTTAGGGATTTATCAAAATACAGATGCCAGAGTTACTGGGAAAAAGTCAAAGATCCATCAAAATCCAGGCCCACATTTTGCTCCCTTTAGAAGTCTTTAGAGAGGCCGTTATGATTAGTCTGAACTCCCTAGGTCAGAAAGGGTAGTAGTCCTTCACTCGTTTATGTTACCTCAGGCAACTGTAGAATTTGGGTTTCCAAACTATTTTAAGGATTAAAAACAAAACTGGTAACTGTGCTCAGGAAAAATGCTTGTTGGGGCAGCCATTACCATCAGCTCACTTGTTATTAAGTTTGGTATTCAGCCTGGACGCTCAGAACTTTATCAAAAGCAGCTGTTTTCTGTCTCATGAACACTGTACATCACAGTAAAAGCAACGACCCCTGAGGCTTTCCTAACTGCCAATGTTCCCAAGATCACTGGCCACCACATTAACTCTTTAACCTGTCTGCTTCCAGGCTGGCGCAACCTCCCTTTCACACCCGAGTCTAGGCCCACAAAAGGAGGGGAAAGACAAGTGTTTTCATTCCACAAGACACTGTTTATTACTTACAAGGATAGCAATCTGTTAAATTCCCGTGTTTTCAATACTCGGAATTGAACTGAAACCAGGCCTCCGCAGTGTGCTGAACCCCCACCACCAACAAATCCTCACAAAGTTGCTGGACTCAAATTCGTCAGCCTCCTGCCTCAGTTTCCCAGAATGCGCGACCACAAAGTCCGGAGCATTCACCACCAAGCCTCCAAATTTAAGTCGAATCACTCTCACATTTGCAAAGCAACGCGCTCTGGGAGCAGAGTTTCTCTCAGGCTAACTCCAAGAAGAAGGAGCAGCAGCAGGAGCCCTGCGCGCTCCTGTCTCGGCGCTCCCCACAGCAGAATGTCCACCCCGTCCAGCTCTGAGAAAAGCGAACAATCCAGGAAAACCACTGCCAATTCCTATTTGCCGGATGCTGTTCGGCCTCTCTGGACTGACCTCTACTTTTTAACTCTTGACGGGGAGGCGAGCCAGCCGCAGGGCGCGACCCGTCCCGCTGGGGCGGCTGAGGCAGCGCACGCGCCCGCCGCGAGCCCGGCCCGGGCGCCGCCTCGCGGTCCGCAGCGCGGGCCATCCGCACTCCGGGGCCACGGGTGCGCGGAGCGTGGTGGGGCCCCGGCCGACGTGACTCACGGACACCCACGCGAAAAAGTCCTGACCCCAAGGACCGGCTAGGGCCGCTCCAGCCCGCGTCCCGGACCTCCCAACGCACCCCTTCTTCGCCCGCCGCCTTTGCGCACCTGACCGCTGCCCGGTCTGAGGGAAATGCTGGCACAGCGACGCTGAGGCCACATGCATGCGTCTCACCGGGTCACACCAGCAAGCCTAGGGGGCGCCACCGCCTCACGGGCTCTCCTCCGCCCGCGGACGAATCCACCTCACAGCCGCGGGACCGCGGAGTTCGACGCCCAAGCGCGTGCAACCCCGGGACTCGGGCTCTCGCGCCACTCGGACGTGTGAAGCCACGTGACCTCCCCTGGCTAGGAAGGCGTGCTGCACGAGGACCAATTCTTCCGCCTTAAAGGGGCCGCGCCCACGCCGTCGCGGCACTCTTCACAGAACGTTTGCCCAGCTGCAAGGAGGGCCAACGTAGCCAGGAACCCCGCCCCATCGGGTATGAAGAAGACTCGCAGCTGGGATGAGCCTCGGGTCTCAAATGCAACGGTTGCACAAGTAGGCTGGGGGTGGGGTCGCAGGCTCTCTTCCACTCAGTCCGCACCTGTCTTTCCCTATGTTCGAGACCGCCCCAGTCCCTTACTTGGTTCCTGAGCCGCGGCGCCTTTAAGCCAAAGGCCCTGAGTCACGCGGAGACTCCCCGCCCCCCTGCCGCTGCATACCCTTCCACGAGGCCCCACGCCCGCAGGCACGTGACCGCGCCCCGCCCGAGACGCGCGCGAAGAGGGGCGGGGAGGACGCGCCGGGGCCCACGAGGCGGCGCGCGGACCGTTAGCTGTGGTGATAGAACCGGCCCGCCCCGGTGGCGGGCGGCTCTTACCGGTGGGAACGCCATGGGGCCTGGCCCCGCCAGGCAGACTGACTGACGGGCGGGCCCCCGGCCGGCAGGCGGACACGGAAAGGGACGCGCACGCACGTGGCTCTGTTTCTGCAGCGGGCCGCGCGCAGCGCCCAGCCGGGAGGCTTATAAAGCCGGGAGCCGCCCCCGCCGGATGCTGGGCACCTGTGCTGCCAGCCCCGCCCCGCCC